TCGTAGGTATGCGGTAAATGACTCTGAAAGCATGGTGAACGTCAATCTTGTATCTTGTATCCACAAAATGAGGTAGAATAGCTCTATGTGAATAGATTTTGTTTGTCCTGTGCTTTATCACTCAGGTCGTACAAATAGGTGTCGAATTTCTCGCCGAATTTCCGAGCATCACCTTGCATAATGATTGGTTAAGTAAAGGACAGACGAAATCTATTTGCAGAGCGCTATTCTACCTCATCTTGTGGATACAGAAGACAAGATTGATGATGTTAGCAAGGCGGCTTTCAAAGTCATTCACAGCGCCTTAAGAGTTCGACTACTAAATATTGCTGAGGCTGACTGTTGGGATCCATATTAACCAGCCTAATTTGTGCATCCAAAAGAAGTTAGTTCAGACTGGCATTGTCCTTACCCCATTGGCTATCTAGGTTTGAATGATCCTGAATTTTTATGGAATTTCCCTAATTTTAGTTGATATTCTATTGGCTATTATATCTTTATTATTATTATTATCTAAGCATCTTTAATGAACTGTAATTCCATTGTGATCTTACTTTACAAATCGATATTATTTAAAAAAAGCACACTAATATTGTTATTCAGCCTGTTAGTTTAAGCTAACTTCAGTTTATTTCTTTAAGCTGTGTTGAGTATACAAATTCTGCATATTTTTTTATATAGGGCGGGCATAATAAATTTCAGTCAATTTATCAGTGTTCTCTTTCTTCTTCCTCTTCTACTATTCATCTAATTTGCTAATAATCTAATTGCTGAATTAAACAGAAATCCATAAAGTGGCATATGGTGGCATACATATATATTCTACTGACTGGTATGATAAGGGTTATCTAAACACTGACTGAATGCCCAGAACACTTATCGATCTTATCTGATGATGATGATGATGACGACGACGATGATTCCACATGTCAGTTGATTCACAATAGGGAAAATAATTTCCCCAAGATACCTTTGAAGTGAAGACAGGAGAAAGATAAGGCTTGCTGAACTGTAGTATATGGCATACCGTGGGAAGTTGGAAGACAGGAATACGGTAGGCCAACAAGAAAAACCCAAAAAGGTTTGAATTGCATGGAATATTTACTATAAGTGTAAAACTTGGGCACTGTGGTAGTAAGTAATTCCATATTAGTTTGTTTATTAGATGTATCACACATTGAGTAAAGATTATTACTATTTACCCGATAACATTTAAAACAAAATTTATTGTTCATAATGATATCGTCAATTATAATCACACGACTTTGAAACTTGAGTTTTACAGTTTTCTTTGTCCTCTCCTATTTGTCGTTATAAGCACACTAGTAGAATTTTCCAGATATCCGACTGGACAGGTGTTGAATCATTCCTATTACACGTATTCCCTGTCAATCGATTCAATAAACAAAGCTTCTGTTATCAGTCTCTCTTTCCACACTGTTACATCAGATTTTAAAACTGTCATCTTATCTCATCCTGAAACCAATCTGGAAATCCTCGTCACTCAACCAACCATCAACAACAAAATCCAGTCGGATTTTCAATACAAACAACGTCAAGTCAGTCAGCTTTTCTATACGGATCAGAAACTTGGCGGGCGGGTCACAAAGAATACTTCCAACAGCCTGTTGCAGACCTTTATCAACCAACAATTGTCTTCACTCTATACTGAAGATCAATCAGATGGCCGGAAAGAATCGCCAATGAGAAACAAGGAACTATGGGAACAAAAAAACAGGAACCAATCGCCAACCAACAAATATGCAGGAGAAAGTGGAGATGGACTGGACACTCGCTGAGGAGGCCGCCGCTGGGTGATATCGCGTGGGCGTCAGGCCATCACTCCAGCGGAACCAAAAAGGGAAGCGGCGAGTAGGTCATCAGTGCAAGGGTGATATGGAGGAGATTATGTGAGTTGGTTGAAACAGTATGGACTAACATGGATGATGCAGGTGAGAAGTACAGCAAAGACAGAAGCAAGCAAGGGGAGACGTGCAGTTGAAGCCCTATGTTCCACTAGGAACCCAAGGGGATAATAATAATAATAATCTTATCTAATCCAGCCCATTGTGTGGTTGTGTGTAATTGCATGTGGTGGGTGCTATAGCTGAACTATTCTCCAGATATCTTATTTTATTGGGGTCAACTAATCTGGATTTCGGTAGGTTTTTATGTTCGGCTCTTCTGACTACCTCTGTTCTACTGGTTTGAACTAGTAAAATCTAATGTCACAGGGTGGAGGGAGAGAGTGATAACACAAGCTTTGTTTATCGAATCAACTGAAGAGAAAACGTGTAATAAGAATGATTCAAGATTTGTCCAGTCGGATATCTGGAAAATTCTACTACCCCTACGACAAACGGGAGAGAACAAAGAAAACTATAAAACTCAAGTTTCAAATTCGTGTGATTATAATTGATTAATGATGATGATTATGAACAATAAATTGTGTCTGAGAAGTGTAGTCATCCAACAGGTAATACTGTTTTACTGTGTGATACATTTAATAAACAAACTTATATGGAATGGAATATTTATGTCTAATATCATACAAACTCAAAAATCTAAGAGCAAAACCCAACCAACTGGCTGAAGACGCACTAAAGACAGGACCTCGAGTAAACATAGAGGAGACAGAGGTGATGAAGATGTCATACAGCAAAAAACAACAACAACAAGCAGCAACTGCCATCAATCTGAGGAAAGTTGCCTCTTTCAGAATCGTTTCAACTACAGGTAAATGGCACAGATAAATATGTCAAGGCGAAGATCAAAGTCAGCGTAAAAACAGAATTCCGATTTTCAACAGGTAATGCCAAATCAGTTAGTGTTGTTACATGATTCATTGACTTGGTGAATGAGTCATGTGAAAAGCATGTGAGAAACAGGCTACTGAAGACATTTATCAATAGCTGACTTCTCAGACTCGATAATGAAGATCAAATGGCCAGAACTCTGGGAATCAGCTAATCAGGAACCCATCCTTCAACAAATATCTAAAAGAAAATGGAGATAGATCAGACACACGCTTCTGAAGACCGTTGAGCGATATCCTGCGCTAGGTAAGCCATCGAAAGTAACCCGAATGGGAAACGACCAGTTGGGCATCCGAAGGTGATATGCAGGTGACTGTGTGATGAGGAGATAAAAGCCTGTTGGTAGTCTTGGATCCAGTTAAAGTGGAGACTTGCTGTTGAAACCTTATGTTCCGCTTGGAACCCAATGGAATAATAACAATAAAACAACCACTAGATTAGACATAAATCTATGAATCATGGTGGTATATATATATATATATATATATATATATACTACTGATCGATATGAGCAGTTGGGAACCAATCATATAAATCCGTAGTGGTGCTTGTCAGACAGATCAAGTGGATCCAAACAGCGAATAGGTGTTCCACTCATTTGATTTATTGCTTGATATCATAAATGGCTGTGGTGACAGCTGTCTGCTAACCAAAATTGGTTGACAGCAAGTTAGGTCAATGTTTACGTCCCAAATATTGGTCATGAAAAAACAACAAGAACAAAGACTAATGCAACAACCAATCACAGTAAACTTTGCGTGGGCAGATACGATTAGCAGACACATGGTCTGACCTTCAAAGAAACGGCCACAAAAAGATGACAGAAAAGGACCAATCAGAAGACGCTGTTTCTCTGCTAATGATAACGAATAATAATGTACGTAAAAATATATAAATATTTCTTGATTTCCTAAATAAGCGATCTGTTGCCTGACCCTTGTCTTCGGTTGTTACATGGCGTTGAATGCATGAAATAAATAGACGATGCCATATACTACTTTTTTCCCTTGACGTTCCCCAGTGGAACATAGAGCTTCAAGCTAGTGGATTGAAGTTCCTATAGCAGTGTTTATTTTACAGGATAGGGTTGCTAGCCTCATGCCCAACCTTTCCTCTTTACCAGCATTATTTCTGGCTTAGCGAGGTAAAAGAGTGCGTCAGCGGCCGGGGATCGAACCCCGGACCATGTGCATGGTCGGTGAGCGTCCTAATCGCCATGCCACCGACGCATATGCTACTACTAGTACTAATTGATGTGAACAGATGAAAAGCACCCACATCAGGCAGGTATTGCTCAACGCACAGATAGAAACACCAAAGAACCATTCGGCTCGTTTTAAGGCCAAGCTCATCATTGATGTATTTGATCCGATTAAGACCACAGGGACGAATCATTTCAAACCACCATAAACTTAATCATATTAAAACACATATGCTTTCATAGTATATTTTGCAGCTGAAATTGTACAGGCATTGAATAATCGAAATAAAGTGGATAGATAAATCAAGCACCTTTGGATGACAGACAAGTAAACCATCGTAGATTGTAGTTGCTTAATCATAAGGAAAGAGAGATGACTTCTACAAGAGTTAAAGTTTGCTAGCTGAATCTAGGTCATCATAAAATAAAGTCGTATAATTCATTTTACTCAGTATCAAGTTAGTGTTTTTTTTAATGAATTTTAGATTTTCCCGTCAACTGATTCGACCGAAGTGCTCGGTCTCAGGTTGACATGTCCGTTGGTTTCTTGTGCAGTTGCTTCGACGATGTCTGGGCATGTAATCAGAAGTGAACTAGTGGATGGTGACTAGGAGTGGAATCCAGGATAAGGCGCATTTCATCCTGTGTTCGTCACTGGTTTCAAGCCTCGGGGGGAACATCATCACTGACTCACTGGGGAATGCAGGTACATCCACTAGCTGACGAGTCCCAAATAGGACGAAATGCGCTCTGTCCTGGGTTCCACTGCTAGTCACCATCCACCAATTAAGTTGTTGTTGTTGTTTTTTTTAAAAATTTATTCAAACTAAACATGTGGATATGATGCTAACTAACCAATGACTCATGTTAAAATAAGTGGAACTGGATGTATCTTACACCGTCAAACTGTATAAATACTTGATCCAATGAAAATAAAGAGAATTTAACATAAAATTTAAAGCATAAAATTAATATTTAATTACTTAGTATTGTAAGGATTGTAGCACCAGATATCATAATAAAAAATTGAAGAGTATCAGTATAGAGGACAGCAGCAAGTCCACCTAAAATATATATATAGAAAGAAAGAATGATACAACATTTAATGATGAATAAAAGAAACGCATTCGAAATAAGCCCTCATGTACATACAGTTTAACATTATTCAACAGACATATGCGAAAATTGATACATTAGTAGAGAAGATTTGTAGCTTAGGTGGATGTTTTACAATTAGTTGCGTTCTTTGGGCTGGTTGGTTTAATTATGGAGCTATCATAGTCCACCCTCTAAACAACATCCCCATTCAACGCAATTTTTAGCATAAAGTGAAATGATATTATTGAATTGAATTTTTGATTTTCCCGTCGACTGATTCAATTCAGTAATTAATATAACCTGTTGCACAAGAGGCAGTGGCTCTCGTGGCCCAAGTGGTCTAGTGGATAACGCTTTGGCTGGTGTTTGAAACTATGGGCATTGGGTTCGAGCCTCAGTGGGAACATCATCACTCACTGAGAAATACAGGTACATTCAGCTGACGAGTCCCAAGTAGGACGAAATGCGCATCCTGGATTCCACTGCTAGCCACCATCCACCAATTGAACTGATATTAATTCTCCATGAATGATAGAATTGTGTCTGCTGGTAATCATCTTCCTAACTGGTAGTCGATTTACATTCTTATAGATCATTTTTTGCATTGACTTGTGTTTGAAACTTTCTCGTGCAAGCAAACAAACAAGAAACCATCATCATCCTCAAAGACTACAAGAGAATTCATCCTACCATATATATATAAAAAATATCTCTGAAATAACAGCTAGAATACTGAAACCGTTTAAAATAGATATAGCAGACTAGCCAGTCAAATCACTTAATTCGATATTGTGCCAACCGAAAGATCCAACCAAGAAAAAAGATAAATTTAACACCATTTTACAAAATAAATTCTATAAACTGTAACAAACATTACATCGGTGGTCAAAGTGGGCGTCTCCTTTGAATCAGAATCCAAGAATACAAGTTAGCTGTGAAAAGACATGGTATATATCCCTTCATATCAATGCATGTAGGTAATTATGGACATCAGTTTGATTTGGGATAATGTGGAAATTCTAAACAGTGGAAACACCAAAATTACTGCCAGAGAATTCCTAGAAGCCAAGTCTGGTACTCAAGCGAATCAGACAGCCAGCCAGCGATTATCAAAACACATTAACTAATATAGACCAAATCTAGATTGGACACTAGTAACTAGTGTGGTATGTCTAGTCCTTTCTTTGGTGCAAACTGAATTCTATCAGTCAGGTTTGTAATCTGGCCACCATGCTATTAGGTAGCTCACCATCATGGTGCACTCTGATTTGAGGATATTAGATGGTTGGAGGCAGTACTGGCTGTCTGACTGCAGCACTGGGTGACGCGGGTTCGAATCTCAGAAGGGACATGAGTTCCTTCAGGGTTGCAGACACGCCTACCTTGCTGACTGGTGAGTGCCAACTAGCACGAAACCTAGGTCCTGGAAAGGCTTCCTGTGGCCGATTGCCTCCAACCATCTAATATCATAAACCAAATCTACCAACTAATAAAAAGTAAATCATCACATGAGGAGAAAGTTCAAAATCCAAGTCCATAAAAAATGATCAATGTAGATGTACTGCATATGGTTAGTGGGAGACTCAATTCTATCATTGATTCATGGAGAATTTAAATCAGTTCACTTTATGCTAAAAATTCCGTTGAATGGGGATGTTGTCTAGTGGGGTGGACGACGACAGCTCCGGAATTAAACCACCCAGCTCATAGAACTCTACTAATTGCAAATTGATACATTAGCTTAGAAATTATAATAGTTACTTCCAGGTCAATGCTAAAACAGATTTAAAATTAGTAATAATAATAATAATTTAAAACAATTAGTTCCCTTTATGAATTTACACAAAGCAGTAAGAAGACGTAATTTGTCTAATCGTGTTAGGTGTATTTGCGCTCACAACACATTTCGAACAATCTGGTCACACACAAACTTGCCATAGGAATATATATATATGAAATTAACCAAGAGTTAAGAGGTGAGAAAATAGACTGCTTACGTCTAGTTAAGAAGACGTACTCCCAGAGATAGATGAGTCCTCCCTATGTGTATGTATGTCCGCATGTACACTCAAATTGGTAAATACAGCGGGATGTGACATTATTCTTCGCATGTTCAAAGGGCTTAGATAAATGGATATATTGGCTCCACATTCTCAATTATTATGATATTAGCTGGATAAAAAGTCTTTTAAACCACAACAGCATTCAGTCGTTGTCTAGTTATCATGCTGCTTTGATGCCCCATATAGGGTAGGTAGCTTGATGTACACGTCTTTCCTAGGGACGAGCTGTAGAGTGGGTCTTGGTGTTCTGACTACTTTATATTTCCTGATGAACTTGTTTGAATAATTGTTTTCAACAACAAGAGCTTGTGTCAACTTTCTTCCTCATCACGTGTGTCTTCAGTGCATATTTGTTGGATTCTACTGAAGAGGCAGCTACCTTACTAAGGATCTTTTATACCAAGCAGGGCAGAAACTGTGGTAGTTAAGATGCTGTCCTGTCAGGGTAGGTTCACTATAAATAGATCGATTTATTGATCCAAAAAGCCGTCGACTAAGCAATATCACACATTATCACGTCTTCATTTTAATTGATCATGTTGATTAGAAGAATTCATGGAAAATTCCTATTGTAACATATAGAAAATCAAAACAAGTGATTCAGCGAAGAGACTTTTCAACGAATTTATCATCAAGCTGTACAATCGTATATATGTGGATTTTAAGAAGTTATATCCGATGAGGGAATCGAATCATAGGTGTGAATGCATAAAATAATAATAATAATAATAATGAGAGTAGTATGAAATGCAATCAAAGTTAAAATGTTTGTGATTATAATCATAGTTAAATGTCAAATGGCAAAGCAATGTCGTATATTCACATAATTCATAGGATGGATAGAACTTGAAAAAGGGTGTGCAATCATAGGATTAGTAGAGTAGGCAAATCGAATAAAATAAAAACGTTACGTAATATTGTGTGAAATTTGGTAGCATAGAATTTAACGTTACAAAACAGAATTGATTTAGAATGACAAGTGGAACAAGTGGAATAATACCGGGGACAGTTCAAAGTGAGAATAGTAATAGTAACAATTGACGTAATAAGGAAGAGTATACAAACTGAATAGACAAAATGAGAAAATGAAAAATTGGTAGAGCTAAAATATGATTGGGGATTACCATATTTTAGCATAGAGGGATTAAGACCATTAAAGTTGGAGGGGTTGAACGGACTTTTTCTGTACATTGCTCCATTGGAGCAATAAGAGGTACGATCACTGAACATCTGGTCCATAATGATCACCCTATCTCTACAGTCTCCGCCTTTAAAGTCATCTACAAGGTTAAGAGTAACTTACCCATATCACTACGTAACCGACTCATCTGTATTGCTGAAGCTTTGGCTATCGAAACAGAAAAGCCAGATCTCTGTGTACAGAAAAAGTCCGTTCAACCCCTCCAACTTTAATGGTCTTAATCCCTCTATGCTAAAATATGGTAATCCCCAATCATATTTTAGCTCTACCAATTTTTCATTTTCTCATTTTGTCTATTCAGTTTGTATACTCTTCCTTATTACGTCAATTGTTACTATTACTATTCTCACTTTGAACTGTCCCCGGTATTATTCCACTTGTTCCACTTGTCATTCTAAATCAATTCTGTTTTGTAACGTTAAATTCTATGCTACCAAATTTCACACAATATTACGTAACGTTTTTATTTTATTCGATTTGCCTACTCTACTAATTCTATAATTGCACACTCTTTTTCAAGTTCTATCCATCCTATGAATTATGTGAATATACGACATTGCTTTGCCATTTGACATTTAACTATGATTATAATCACAAACATTTTAGTTTTAATTGCATTTCATATTATTATTATTATTATTATTTTATGCATTCACACCTATGATTCGATTCCCTCATCGGATATAACTTCTTAAAAGGCATACATATATATACGATTGTACAGCTTGATGATAAATTCATTGAAAAGAGTCTCTTGATATAAGAATAAAGCTTGTGCACTGTGGTAGAGTGTAATTTCATAATGGGTAAATTTTGTTTTGATAAAGTTTCACAGTGTAAACATTACTGTATAACACTGGGAGACTATCAAAACAAAATTTACCCATAATGGAAAAGAGTCTCTTCGCTGAATCACTTGTTTTGATTTTCTATAGATTAGAAGAATTGACAAGTAAAAAATGACAGTGACAGCAAATAGCCCAAGTAGATTAGCGACCTTATATTACGATTGAACCAACAGAAAATCGTTGTTTTTTTTGAACATCGTATCGAATTTCAGGCATATCTAACTAATAAGTGTACTAGAATCAAATGAAGAAACAGGATTCATTTTTAATTTTATGAGCATCCCTCAGAATATGCACTTGAATACAACTTTTACCTTTATATTGTTGCGTAATGCACAAAACTGAGATAAATCTACTTTTCACGTATTGGTTTGGTGAGATTTCACTGACTGCAAGTTAGATCACAAATTAATATCATTTGGAGAACTACTGAACATCAGGGAGTACTGGACAGCCAGCTGTTTCTTCAGCCTAGTTTGGAAATCATCCGCAGTACGTACCTACACCGTCAGGGGTCGAACCCGGGACCTTCCGATTACAGGGCAAGTTAGCTCATACACCATTCAGCCACTGGGATCTAATCCCTCAATGACCAGTCTATGGATTCTAACTTCTACCAATTCGTGATTTAGCGTGACCACCAACCAGTGTTATTGGTGGGACATCCATCATTACACTTCACTGGATGGAACTCACTGGTCATGCTAAATCACGAACTGGTAGAAGTTACAATTCATGGACTGGCCATTGAATCGAGTCAGCTCCCAATGGCTGAAATGTATACGAGCATGCTTGCTTGTAACCTGAAGGTCGTGGATTCGAACCCCGCAGTGTGGGTGCGTACTTCTGAAGAGTCCCAAACTAGGACGAAACAGCTGTCAAGTGCTCCCTGAAGGTTTTCCAGTGGTTCTCTAACTGATGTCTGCTCATGATGAAATCGTGTAACCAAACTCATAATTTTCTTGAGTTATGGTTGGTTATCTCAGAGACAAAAAGTTCCTCTCAGTCGCAATAAATACGTCATTTATTGGTGCATACAAACGGTATGTATCCAAATTGAAGTGGGGATTACCATACTTTAGCATAAAGGGATTAAGACCATACAAGTTGGAGGGGTTGAAGGAAATTTTCCTGTACACAGAGATTTGGCTTTTCTGTTTCAATTGTTACTATTGATATTCTTACTTTGAACTGTCCCCGGTATTATTTCACTTGTTTCAATTATTATTCTAAATCAATTCTGGTTTTCAACGTTGAATTCTGCTATCAAATTTCACACAATACTACGTGTGGGAACATCATCACTCACTCACTCACTGGGGGATGCAGGTACATCCACTAGCTGACGAGTCCTAGATAGGACGAAATGCGCTTTGTCCTGAATTCCACTGCTAGTCACCATCCACCAATTAACCTTTAATATTACATAACGTTTTTATTTTATTCGATTTGCCTACTCTACTAATCCTATGATTGCACACTCCCTCCAGGTTCTATCCATCCTGTGAATTATTATATATATATATATATATATATATATATATATAGGTACGATTAAACAGGTTGATAGTAAATTCGTTGTTGAAAAGAGTCTCTTTGCTGAATCACCCACCACTTGTTTTGATTTTCTATATGTTACAATGGGAATTTTTCATGAACTTTTGTAGAAGCAGAAGAAATCTTACACGCACAAAAAAAAAAGATTTGTATAGTTTTAATTCAGGAGATAGATAGACAGACAAATATTGAAAGATAATAGAAAACAACAACAAAAACAACAAAAAGATTTCATCGACTCACCTGTAGTAGTAATTACTGCAGTTATAATAAGGATAATAATAATTGACAACCATGTATTCCAGTGTAAGGCTTCTGTTAAAAACAGAGAACCAGAGTACAAATTCACCTACAGGTAAAAAAGTACACATTTTTTTAAAATGTTTTAAAAAGCATTGCCACCCCCACATTAACACTATATGACACCAAAAATGATTTTTTTTTATTCAACAGTAATGGGTAATAAATCTACACACACACGTCTGTACAAGGAGTCATAAGGTTCAATGAAGTTACAGATACTCTGAGAAAAAGAGAAAAACATACGTTAAAGACTTTCCGAACATTTTAGAATGAACGATAACTAAATGATAAATGACTTGGGAGTAACCGACAACTAGCCACTGAAAATATGACTTCACAGCTGAAGAGTTAGAGCAGTAGTCTAGTAAACCAGAGGTCAAAAATGCAATTGCATAGAGGATTTCATCATGAGATGACATCAGTTAGAGAACCCCTGGAAAAGCACCTGGGTGTACTGGACAGCTGTTCCGCCCCCCCCCCTCTAATTTGAGACTCTTCATCAGTACTCACCCATCGCCAGGTTTCGAACCCAGGACCTTCTGGTTACAAAGCTAGCGAGTTCGTAGACCATTGAGCCACTGGGACCCGATCCAATGGTCCTTGGATTGTAACTTCTGCCATTTCACGACATAGCGCGACCATTTCGCAGTGTCTTCTTCGATGAATTACTGCCTCATCTTCAACCAGCTGTTGCAGCCTACTGGTCACGGCTTCCAACTAGAACCCCAGGTTAACTGTTTGAATAGGGCCAGTCACAAGTGAGCATCAGATTAATTTTCAGGTATTGGTTTCATCTTTCATATATAAAACAAAGCCTAAGGAATTCAAGCTAGTAAGGAGTTTGAAATCAATATTTGGATACATTCTGTTTTCCTTCTCTGTTGTTCCCTATTATCTATACTGGTGGTTGCGACATTTACTTAATAGGATATTGATATTCCAAATAAGCCAATCAAATAAAAAGCACAAAAGTAGTTGACCCTGATTTGTTATTTTTTAAACAGTATAACGGAGGGGAAAGGAGAATGATACTCAGGGAGGCTTCGTGTGCTCTTGGAAGTGTGTAGGCGGTTGTTACTTCCCAGCTGCCCAGACTGTGGAAGTCTATTGAGTCTTCGGGTACTTGAAACAGAAAGAGGGTTAGTGTTGTGTGACTTCAGAGCTCACGAGACAACTGCTTGAGGTCGGTCACACAAGGCCTGTATGAACTAGTTTCTGGGATTGGCTCCGTATTAGTAAACTTACCACCGGTTACGGACCACCGTAGGGTAATTCGGAATGTACAATTGTTGGAGTCGACCTTTTCTAACCCCCCTCAGCAGAATGGAGGCAGCATAGTCGGCTGGCATGTTGGTCATCTGAGGGAAACACCTTACTGCCGTTACATCCCCATTCCGCAGCAGTACAACTTCACCCACAGACCCCCAGCATAGTGTGAAAAAAGTTCTTAAACTATGCCGGTAACTGCTTTTAGTCTAATCTCGCTATCCTAACAACCTTCCTGGCAAGATAGAACCTGCAGGAACAATAGTATCAGTCAGTGTAGCTTGTTGGGTCATTGAGATGTGCAAGTCCGATCACCACGTCAAGGTAGCAGCTACCCATATGAAACTTTACTGTCTATAACTGATGCTAAAGTGCACATGAATTCCTGCCGTAATCCTTTAGCTCTGATGGGTTTCATTCAAAGTATGCTTTTAATATAACACTAACCCTAACCATTACACTAAGACTGGCTGGTCTACTTGGCTTTCTGCTTATAATACCTCGAAAGGAGGTAATCTTCTGTGTAAAACGGATAGTAAAGGGGTCTCTCTTTACTGTCCTAATACCTCTACTAAAACCTAACAATCTTTTCTACCTTATAACTGCTACAATATACTAAAATATTTGTCTCAGTAATTTGCTGATAATTTTCTATCATTAACTGCTTGAGATTTGACGTATTTTCCTCATTTTTTTCTCTGTTCTAACAAGCACTGAAATCGAATGACCAACTATTATACTTATGATTCCACAGTGTTCAACTAAGCATTAGGGATACCGTAAATTGACTTAGTCAGGTGGGTAACCAGGTGGAAAGTCAGTTGAAAGTGCTGAAAGGCAGCCGAATGCAATGGAAATATGCCCCTGTAATCCTATGTGTCCTTCTTCTCGGAATGCAGGCAAGGAATGATGATGATGATAATAATAATCCCTGAGATGACAACAAGAGTTAGGCTTGTACGAAGCGATTTTTACACTTAAAGTAGATGACAAAGAAAAATTAGGTTAACTGATGTTCCGGACTTTACAAAAGAATCCACCTCTTTATTGTTTTAAATATTCGTGATGAAATTTTTCAGTACTGAAATAGTAGAACTATACTGGATTGCTCAAACCTTGAACCCATCTCAGAGATCACTTTTTTTCTTGTTCTATTTCACCTGTATAGCTCTGTTTATCCGAAGCAGAGTGTAACGATTCCGCAGGATGTCGTTACTGTAAAAATTCCTAACTTATGATATAAAATGTTTCTGAAATGTTACAAAAAGGGTCGGGAATGACTTCTTAAATTGAACATCCCATAAAATATATCCTTCTGTGGGTTTATTCCTATATGTGCATCGTGAACATTGTTTAAGGCTAACAAGTACAAAGACAAGTTCGACGGTCAAGAGTAAATCACCATCATGTTTGTTAGTAACGCTTCAAGACTTTAAGGAAAATACGGATCTTTGCATAACAATATCAACGTTTTTTATCCGAAAGCCTTAACCAGTATCGATATGAACTGTCGTCGAAATTTTGACAGAATAGTTCTAAAATATTTAGACGCCGAGTGAGAAGTAGACATTTGTAAAAAAAAATTATGTTTGTAAAATCTCAGTGAGACTGAAATAAGTAATTCCAACGTTCCCTACAATCGGCAATCTCGTCCGAACTTCTTCAGGGAAATTAATCGAAATTAACATAACAGAAAAGAAGACAAAGTAATAAGTTCGACAGAGTGCTTCAACTAAACTCTAATCCTAAACACCATAATTCTTTGAAAATACGTCTAATCATAAAAATTCTAGATACACTAACAGTTTGAACAGACATGAAGGTGTGATCTTGTTAGCTGATGCATAGGAAATCCTGATTAATAAATAAAAATGGATATCTACCACTAATTAATTAATAATACTTGGTCAAAATTCCTGACTGTCTATATCTTTGTATGGAGACGTTAAGAAATGTTTTACAACTGTTTACCCACACACACACACACAAACTCCGTTTAAAGTGTTTAACAAAAGTAGACCAATATTTGAAAGTCAAAGGTCAAATTTTGATCACAGCTCATACAATTTTGTTTATTATACTTGTTGATACTTGTTTTGTGACTCATATGATTGGACAAAGTTTTTAAAAACAAGAGATGTAACCCCTTTTTATATATAAACCTCTGTTATGTTAATTTCGATGTTAATTTCCCTGAAGAAGTTCGAACCAGTTCGCCGAACACAGTAAACTTTGGAATTACTCATTTCAATCTCGCTGAGATTTTACAAAATAAAGATATGCTCTGTAACTAAATATTCGTTTTTCTTTAGTTTTTAATGCCCAAAAGTTTAAGCGGATATCACCAAATGAGTAAATAATAGTTTTATATTAACCACAATGTAGTTTACAGTGGATGTTAATTAACTTTCATCGCAATGCCTAGAAATGAGTTCAGTTAAATGAATTCATGTATACTCTTAAACAGTAAATAAGTGATAAATTTATAAACTCACCGAGATTTTCGTAAAAATATATAACAGTAAAGAAAGAACAGCTAAATACACCTTGATCCGATCACCACCAAATCTTTTCTTCATATATTCTGGTAGAGTACTCACCTAAATATTTATCACCTGATTTATTGAAACACTTACGCCACTAGCAATGTAGACTGGAAGAAAAACCCAACCCAATAGTTGTAATATTATTGACGCCTGAAATTATTATTATTATTAATATTATTATTTAAAATAAGTAAATATCTAAAGCTTACATTCAATTCAAATGCGCCTACTGCTATCCCACTAGCTGCTCCTGAACCAGCCAAACCAATGAAATGTTCACTACCAATATTACTGGCAAACAGAGAAGCACCAATCTAAAGATATTGACAAGCTGTAAGTATTTTACCGGAAGCCATGTGATAAATCTTCCAGCCAAAAAGTAATCAGTAACCGTGCCACGACGATGAGCAAATAAAGACTGTAAAAGTAAGAATAAAAAAACCTTTCATTTTGATTAAAATAAAAGATCACTTAGTTGTTGATATGAGCTTAAAATTTATTTATTCGAAAGCGATTTCTAGACTTTTTTTTATTATTTTTTTCATTGTTCCCTTGGCTTCCTAGTGGAACATAAGGCTTCAACTGCACATCTCCACTTACTTGCTTCTGTCTTCTGCTGCTGTACTTTTAACCTGCATCATCCATGTTAGTCCATACTGTTTCAACTCCTCTTCACAGGATCTCCTCCATGTTACCCTTGCACTAACGACCCACTCACCGCTTCCCATTCTGTCGGGTTCCACTCGAGCAATGGCCTGACGCGCGCGCGATGTCACTCAGCGGCGGCCTCCTCAGCGAGTGTCCAATCCATCTTCACTTTCGCCTACATATTTGTTTTGTTTCTTCCCACAGTTTCTCGTTGGTGATTCTTTCCGGTCCGGCCATCTAATTGATCTTCAGTATAGAGTGAAGACAGTTATTGGTCGATTAAGGTCTGTAACAGGCTGTTGGAAATATTCTTTGTGACCCACCCGCCAGGTTTCTGATCCGTATAGAAAAGCTGACTGACTTGACGTTGTTTGTATTGAAAATCCGACTGAATTTTGTTGTTGATGGTTGGTTGAGTGACGAAGATTTCCAGATTGGTTTTAGGTTGATGAATGTGTTTCTCGCTCGCCTTCCCGATTCTCGTTCGATTTGACATCCTCGTCCGTTCCTGCTGTAGTTGAGGATTTCTAGACTTGGTAGTCTGTAGTAAATCAATGAAATTTCACTCGGGAAATGACTTCGAACAGCGTTTGTCTTTGCTTCAGCTCTTGAATTCCTGGTACTGTTAGGTAATTATAATACTGGTCAAATAATCTTGTTTAAACATTTTGTGAGAGATTAATTAAAGCAGACGCTGATCACGTGAATTGTTTGCCCCGATTATGATATTAGTAGTAAAAATACCAGTACACTGATATTAGGAGAAGTATTGCAATAAAATGAAGTGAAAGAAGGGATAATATGTGAATCTTTGAGGTGAAGAGAAACAATATCGATACTTGGAGATTCACAGAAGACTATACTAGTTTAATTACCTAGCATATACGTCATAATCTGATAACTTTTGAAGGTTATATTATCCAAGTATTTAGGGGGCTGAAGGTTTAAATATTAAATTCATTTGCTATCCCCCTTTTTTTATTCCCTTCACGTTCCCAGTGGAACATAGGGCTTCAAGCCTCCAGCTTGAAGTTTCTGTAGCAGTGTTTATTTATACAGGATGGAGTTGCTAACCTCATGCCCAACCTTCCCTCTTTACCAGTCTTATTACTGGGTAAGTGAGGTAAAGGAGTGAGTCGGCCGAGGATCGAACTCCGGACCATTTGCATGGTCGGCGAGCGTCCTAACCGCTGTGCAACCGAAGCTATGCCCCTACTAAAATATTATTTGCTTGAATTATAAGCGTGTTGCCAGTCACACGATTAAGGCTTTGTATCTCAGACTAATATTGCCAACAAGTTAAGTAACAGATATTTAGTCATATTAGTAAAGAACTAAAGGTAGACAGATATAGCAATATCAAATAACAACATATTCAGATACTTGAGATCAATTGGAAAAGCTTCATTTCATTCATTTTTTCGTCGTTACCACTCAGAATCTCAAGAAAAGCAATTTAACCATTGAAATTATAGAACGATAGGAATCTTTTAGGGATTCAAGTCACCACTAGCCTTAACATGTTCAACATTTTAGGCTTTTTCACCATTCTAATAGGTTTGAAAGTTCAAATCAACGGTTGCATCCAAGAAGAGTTTGGTGTTAACACATTTCACTAACATATTTCTCAAATTACAACCTATTATATGTAGTAACACTGAGGGTATCAATACAATCACACTAATGCCTACTTAAAATATGAAATAAGTTGCATATTCATTACAGATCTGAACTGCAACTGCTTGATAACAAAGCACTCTTAAACCTAGAGTAAACAGGTCAATGATAAAACGTGTAAATTTCGGTTGAAGATCGCCTACAGATACTTAATGAGTTTTAAATTTTATTTTGATGGGATTAACCACCATTTCGCACGCTTTCCATGCGCATATTATTATAAACTCTCCTTTAGTTTACATCAAAGTCTTTAGTCTTTTTTCAGATGATGATAAATTACTCTTTGGAGGTCGAACTTATGCATTCTTTTAAGTTGTTTTACCATTAATATCTAAGGTTTGGGTAAGCTACGCACACAACTAATACTCTCGCAAAATAATTTTGGTAAGACTGCAATGACAATATGGATAACAACGAATAAGTCCGCTTCTACCTTGAATTACAAATTAAATTTTTAGTGGCATCGTAATGAGACAACGATGGATTCAAGCTTAAATGAAAGAAAAACATTCCATACACCTCATCTCAGCAAGATCTATCCACAAAATACAAAGTCGCAAAACTATATGTTAAAACGGGAAAGAGTAAAGAATAAATATCGAATTCAAACGATCTTGAAGCAAAGATTGAGACTGTTTTAGCGCTACAAATATATGCTTTCCCTAACTCTCTTTGCAAACTTCATCCTGATTCAAGGTTATGGTTAAGGTTGGGGCGAAACTTGAAACGAAGATTGTAAAAAGCACCCATTTGTAATCCTTAGCGACCTGATTGTTTGGTTCAGCGTCGCTTAACTCTGATGTCTGTTGTTCAATGTTATTCAGTTGCCTGTCAAACTAACCTACCAGTAAAACTAATGGAGGTTTGAAAAACACTATTACTATTTGAGAGGAGTTCAAGCAAACACCATGTAAAACCAAAAGCCTACAGCTTCCGCATCACTGATACTGAGTTCTGGCACCACTATCTGGTAAACTGTTAGGGTGAGGGTATTTGGCAGCTCGGCGGATTGTTTACCTACGTTTGGTCGCATAATCTCTAACTGACCAAACGCCCACTTATTTTCAGTAACCGCTATCCTGAAACATACATCACCTTTTTAATGAAAATTTCATGCTTGAATGGTTTTGCCGAGTGTTCCTGATATGCTTCAAATGTATTTAATTGCGCTGGACAGTGATATATGAATACCATAATATCACTGTATTATTATAACATCCACTAATGGATGATTAATTAACTATAGTTAGGTAATTATTATAATTACTTCAAATTATGGTTTGTCAAATAATGTGTCTTTACCTTGAAGATCACGAACTTTTGTTAACATTAAAAGGCGCTTCGAATAGAGTTTTAGTTACATTATGTTATGATCACATGTATTTTGTACTCATTATGGGTGGATATGTATCAAAAATTTAGTGGTTTATGATAGTGTCAAGTCAATGTCGGCTTTTGATTTATGGATTTTAAAACTACACTTACATATATCCCAGCACCTAATAAGGCAATCAAGTAAATAATAATGACGGAAACATCCCACTGGTCAACTTTGATATGCATCACGCTTAAAGCAGAATAATTTGAATCACATCCAATTTTAAGCTCAAGCACATTCTCTCCTTGGTATATTAAAACAAATCAACAATAATTTCTGGCTTAACAGATTCTTTTGTTGTAGTTCATCAACGTTTTGAGCTCATTTTAATTTTGAATAAGAAAGTGAATGGTAGACAAAGTTAGTTCAAGCAAAATTGAGGTTCAACTTAAGTTAAATACGATTCTGAGTGAAAATATAGATGCCTTTCGAAAGTCGGGAAATGCATTTCATCTAGACACTCTTATTCAGTACCATCAAGATAATAGCTTGATAAGAAAGACAGGTTTGTGTCAGCCTTAATGTGACTTTTAACACTACTCTGCACCAACATCAACAAAGAATTTTTAGATTCACTACTTGACACATTCCTTCCACTTACAAATGTCAAATTATGTTGGTGTAGTGCACCACTGAAGCTGCAACTTCAAAATTGGGTGGAGTGTCAATGCTCTTGAGTTTTAGCTGCGTGGTGGTCATTACCTTGCAGGTTATCGTGATGCTTGTCATGAAGGCATAGAAATGGAATCTTCTTTTCCATGGTTCTATGTTATACCAGCAGACCAACTGCCTAGTAAACTTATCAGTAAAGTTTCAAATCGTGTCAATAATAACTGTCCTTCAGACAGTCACCATTTAATAAACATCTACTGGCAAACACTAAGTGTCATAATCCAAACGAGTAACTAGTTAAATAGCCTTTAAACATCGACATATGTGTGTATACACAACAGTCGCGATGAGTCCCATGCGATTAACTGCCATTTTAGTCTTCATATCCCTTTCATTACCGAAAGTCACACGGTGTGGATATATATATTCCCCTACCACTTGTATGGGTAATCTAATATCTGCCGCAAAGTCGTCATATGTTCATTGCCGTCTTCATGCACTGGTGCAAATATCTAGTGACCACAGTGCAATCTGGTTATTCATTCATTCACAATGATTTTAAATATGTTATTTCTATCACTCAACCTGATCATCTGTTTTACAAAATAGGCTGGTTGATAGCCGCAAATATTTAATTATCTAGAGATTTCAATTTCTACTAATACAGTCCATTTTCAAAATTCTATTACGCCTAAATAGGATTGCGGTTTAATTTAGTTTCACTTCAGTGACTAAGTCTCTGACGCAGCTAGACCCTACGAGTATTCCTTTTTTTATCGACCTCTACTGCTGTGTAATTTTCTTCTTTTACATTCATTGTGTCATTCTTTTTTTATCTCATTACTCCTGTAAACTTATAAAATTCCCCAGCTTATGCTTTTGATCTTCCCTCTACTCTATGTTGATGAAAGCAGTAGAAGCCTGCATTTCTACTGTTCCGAAACGCATTTAATTAACTCATAAGTTGTCTCGTGACATAATTAGACTACAGCTGAGTCGACACTAAACATTAAATAGAAAAACTTCCTGGTTTTCTAAATGTGACCCGAACAAACTAGTCTTCGGTTGTTTTCCATTCACCGTTTGCTTTAAATCCACAGTCAGTCTAGCATGCGTCTCCATTTGATACAAGCAGTCCCCAAATTTATGTCACTTTCCATATAATGAAGCCATTATTTGTTATGTTTCCTCTATTATTTTCAGGAGTCATAAATTCATATAGCAGTCCACCTACTGAATATAGGAAGCCGTCGCCTCATGACCGAGAGGCGAGGGCGAAGAAATCAGTTTCGTTTTGGCTAGTACATGAATATCCTATTGGAAACCGCCTGAACATAAAGCAGATAAACTGGAAGAATGTCTTCATTTACATTCTGATAAAAGTCAGTCGAAGAGTCAGTGATCAATGCCTGATTTGGGGGCCCGAAACGCTGTCGATTACCCAAGCCGAGGGAAGCTCTACTGAAGACTTTCAAAATGGAATGAAAATCCGCTACCCAAAATTGTGACCTCAGCTGGAATAGCCTATAGCTAAACATTTTCTTGAATTTTCCTTGTTGAATATGGTATTACTTTTTATGTAAGTTGCATTATTCCATATTGCCGCTAATTGTGTATACAGGTCCGTTGTTATTTTGGTTTAGTGGCAAGTCAGTTATTGTATATACTTTTTAAATGAAATTTTGTACTTGAAAGATTTTGTGACTCGCATAATATTGGAGGCATACTGTACTTGAACTGCGTTACACTTGCAGCACTTGTTCCAGTAAATGTCGCTTGTTTTAATATCTGCGCGGTGCTATGGATTAATCAAAGCAACAAGTTCCAAATCTAGACGTATATCTTTGAGATTACACGCAAACATGCTGGTGTATTCGGTCTATTTATAGAAATACTACTGTCCTAATTCGTTCATTAGTTGTTGGAATTCATAACACATGTCAATGTGTTTGACGATTGAACGATCAATTGATGGTTGTTTGCTCAAAACCAACTTCCCCAATTTTTGCGGAGGCATCAATACGACAGTCATCGTCTCATCGGTCGCCGTTCAGAAAGAAGTCAGTAGAAAACCGTCAGAAGTAATATTGTGATTTATTATTTTAATATTTGTTGACAGACCTTAATGATAACATTGTTTATATGTTGGTGTTACAATAAAGAATTCTCGAGTGGCCAATCGGTGTTTTGGTTTTCGCGTCCGTTATTACTAAGCGTTTCTGAGAAACTTCAAGGAACAGCGTGAGTCCCAGCGTAGCAAGAGCTGGGTATTGACGGTTTACGAGACGTGACTGACAGTTTCTGACGGCGAAGTCATTTTTCGACGGTTTTGGACCGTTGGTAACAGTTCGGATAGTTACCGTTCATCTTTCCTGGTGCCGGACAAGTCCTCATAGAAAAACAAATACCTACAAGCTGTTAAAGGTAACGGAAGTAAACTTCAAGATGACTCAGCAGAACATACGGAGTTTATCGATAATCGAATGATTTACAAGAATGCATTGATTTCGATTAATTGCATGAGTGACCTCAACTGGAGTTTTATACTAGAAGTAATAGCAAGACGCCTACCTACTCGACTGCAAAGGAAGTGGGTGAAGATGAGCTCCCGTATGGAGGATGAGGGTATCGAGCCAAGGTTTGATGATATCCTGAAACTGGTCAATACTAGTGTCAATCAATCTATGAGCAAGTTCGCCAGTCTATTACATCTCACCCCTAGAATAGAGCAGTCTGAGATCAAAATGCAATCATTGATGACGAGTAGGCCTCAAAGAGGGGTATATCGAGAAGGCTCCATGATGTCTAGTAATGCATATAGACCTAGTGAGTGTAACGGGTTTCGTAGTACATCCTCAACAGATAAGTTACAAGATGCAAGACAAACATGGTTGTGTTTTACACGTTTGCAAGAGGTGCATACAAAGGTGAACTGTGAACCAGTGAGCAAGTTCAGTGATAAGCTAAATGTAAACTCCAGGCCTGACTCGGAATTGTGTGACGATAACGGTGCGGTGAAGAAGTCTGTAGTTGCAACTGGTAAGCCATTGTTGAATAGAGTGTCACAGAATAGAGTTGCTGCTTCAGAGTGCAGTTCTGACTCCACAAGTTTACAAGGTATTACTAGTCAGAGTGAAGGTATGAAATCTTTAGGGATTTGTGGAGAAGAACCCAAATCATCTACTGCTGTTAATAAAGAGTTTGAAAATGATGAAGTCGACCAGATAGATGATGGTAAATTGAATATTTGTGATAATGATCATGATAGTGCAGATTTGTCTTTGGTTGATCATGATGAAATGAGGGGAGTGCCTACTACTGCTAAGTTAAATAAGGGTTCTGTACAGCTCAAAGGTGAAGTAGAAATAAATGTAGTTGCAGAAGGCATGCATACTTGTCAGACCGTCAGCGTAATTGATCAGCGTGTAGCCCACCTATCATCAGATGCTAGTGCTAAACCTGAGCTAATAGTAAAAGACAGCAGTGGTGGTAATCTTGCAGTTGGACAACTATCTGAGAGCCGAACAAGAACAGCTTCTTATCCATCACTAAGTTCATCACTTTGTGTCACTCAGTCATCGTTGGTGCTGTCATCCACAATGAAACAGACACCCATCAACTCAAGTATCTTGTGCAATGACTATGCTAGTATCAGTTCGTTTGAAAGGACGAATATCAATGGTCAGTTTAGTGTGGATAAGCCAAGTGTAAAGGAGAGATTTATTGTTAAATTGACTTGCACGAATAAAGACATTTCTGGTTTCAAGTTACTATTTGAATGCTATTATCTTTGGTGTAAATTACTCTGTTTCTATACTTGGTTGATAACATATGTCGTGTGTTTGTTGGTCATCTATGTTCTACGATACAATGACATGAGCGTATTACCGTTCAGATTTGAGGATATAGCTGATAGAAGGAAGTTAGCAAATGAACTCTGCAACGATTTTCCAACCTAGGGCGTCAACCTGAGGAGGGTTGTAGGCGTACTGCTGTAAGTCCTACAATTCTTCAAAGGGTAGCGCATCAGTGAGCAGTCCAATGTGCTTGGTGTGTGATTTTGTACATATGTTCATATTGTATATACTGAATTGATATCATCTGTCATCTAGCTGTTGGTAATTCTGTTTGTGTCCGTACGACTTCCACTTGGATCATCAACCTGAGAAGGAATGTAGGCGTACTGCTGTAAGTCCTACGGTTCTTTGAGGGTAGTTTGTCGTGTCAGAATCCACAACATTTGATGTGTTGATTGTACATATGTTTGTGTTAAATAATTGTGTGAGTTCCAATTGATGTAATTGTTGGTTAATCTTGTTTGTGTTTGGACATTCCACAACTTACAATCGTCAACCTGTGAAGGGTTGCAGGCGTACTGGTGTAAGTCCTGCAATTCTTCAAAATAATTCCACCAAGACATGATCCGCGAGGTTATTTGTACTGTTTGTGTATACGAGTGGTGTGTCTTCTCAATTTGTGATTTTGGATTAATTGTGTTCACTCGTTGTTTTCGTACTTTGTTGCAGTGCATAATTTTGTTAAATTTTTTGTCGTGATTACTTCTGAAGTTGTT